GATTTAAATAATATTTTGTATAATTTTTAGCTTTATATCTTATTTATTTAGCTCAATATAAAATTTTGAAAAGTGTCTATAATAATATGATATCCCACTGTAATATTTTATATAATATTTATATAAAATTGTAGATTTATATAGGTTTTATAGAAAAATATACTTGCTGATGTCAGGCTACTTGAAATTTATTTTTACTTTCTCATAATCATAATCTCTTTTTTTTTTTATTGTATGCATTAAAGTTTTAGTTTAAAATCTTTCTATTTTTTTTTTTTGCTAAAAAATTAACCATATCAAATATATTATTATATTTATTACACGTGAAATTGCAAGTTAAAAAATGAAATTATTGCGGAGAAAGCAATATAGATTTGGAATATTTGAATGCAGTCGTGATGTTTACCTTGCTCATCTCCCCTAATTTTTTTGACCAGCTTTCTGCCGGTCATGGTTGTAAATCAGGATTATGCTGCATGAACTAGTTTGGTTTATGGCATGCTAAATTTGTAAACAAAAGATTGTAAGCCTAGGAGGAAACGATTGTTGTCACAATGATAGCGCAATATTGCGTGATGAGTTTAGCTATCCATATCCATATCTTTCAAGTTTTTCTTGATTCAAATTGAGAAAGCTAGGACTAGGACTGGAGATCTTCCTATCTCTAACTACTTTAACTTCGCTAAACGACAAATATTCAAGAATATCGGATTTTCTTCCAATTCTTAACTTCAATTTGTGGAATATACGTAAAAGACGTATTTTTTGTTCTGCCTGAACTAGGGGTCCGTTAAAGCATTGATCTACATATTGCATAAGTTCTATTTTTTGATATCTTTATAAATAAAACTACCAACTGCATCAAAAAAACCAAATATAAATAAGGCTACTAACTGCATCAAAAAAACTATATAAATAGAAATAAAACTAACTGCATCAAAAAAACTAAATATAAATAGGAAATCGATCCTCAAATTTTATTGGTAGTTTGACCAACATTACATAAACGTGCATTCAAGTTTACTAAAACAGTCCTCGCTATGCTTCGGACAACTAGCAAATCAGAATCTGATAAAGTCCGAAGCAAAAAATATTGTATCCCGCACTGATTGCAGATCATCACGGGAACCTTCAACTCTCTATTTTAATTGGTTTTTTCTGACTAACATTGCATGAACGTGCATTTAAACAGATGAATCCTCGCTACGCTTCGGAGAATAAAGCTAATAATTGCATCAAAAAAACTAAATATAAATAAAACTTAAAAAATTTCATTGGCTATGGTAGCTCGACTTGCATACATGCTGGACAATTTAGTCGGTATTATGTTTTTTTCGCACGTTGAAATTTTTTTTTTTTGTCAGTTTAAAGTGATTGGTGTGATTTTTTTCATGCACTCATGTAATTTTTATTAAGCTTTTTTGAATTGCGTTTATATCTGGTTATATATTTCAAACCGGTATTTATATAAATTTAACCAAACTGGATGTGAATCGTTTTTAATACAATCGGTTGCAAATCGGGTTAATATAACCGTCTTTTGTTCTATATATTAATATTATTCAACGACCGTCAAACCCGTTATTACTTCAAGCTCAATTATTGATACTACCTTGTTAGCCACAAATATGAGTATAATATGAAACCCAACACCTACATGGGGTACCACGGGTTACCGAACGATTTACTTGTGCGGCACAAGTAAATCGTTCGACAACCCATGGTACCCCTGTATGTTCGGAATAATTCATAAATTCAGAACAAAGTATGCTGTTGAAATCACGAAATAATTTCACTACTATTGGTGAATGTTGAATTGATGAAATTTTTATGAAATTAATTTTTCGTTATCATCTCTACTTAGAAACCAATTAAATTTATTAAATCTAATAAAAGATACAATTTACATGCATTCAAGAATGTAACATTAAAAAATTCCACACGAATAAATATTAATGCAGTTCAAGGATTACAATTTTTTTTTTTTTTTAGAAACTCGAGTTAGAAAAAAATAGATATGTCAAATAATCAAATACAGTTTAGTGTTAATTGGAATTAAATATGTAGAAATCTTTTTTTTATAATGAATAATTTCTAACAAGGTTACTACATTTAACAAATAATTATTAAATTTCATGAGCATACAATTCTCATCGCAATGGATAGTTGATAATCCAATATATAAAAAATTTTTAACACCATTGGGTGTTAATATTATTAAAAAGAGTATCTTTATGAACAATATATCATTCGGAATTAGGCACTCAGTTCTAGTGACTTGAATCGGTTGAGCTATAATCGGTTAACCGACCCGAACCGAATAAATTTCGGGTAACCGGTTGAGGAAA